TCCCTCCCTCCCTCCCTCCCTCCCTCCCTCCCTCCCTCCCTCCCTCCTTCCTTCCTTCCTTCCTTCCATTGTCAGTTAGGGATTTTGATCCCAGAACTCCAGATGTAACTAGCACACTCATACCCACTTCAATATGGTGGATAGGGTGAATTAATATACAAAAAGTGGGTAATGTCATATATGCAAACAACAAACTGGAATGTAGAATGGATAAAAATGCTTTATTGGCTGGTGGCTCTTCTGTCACTGTCATACATGATGCTCTCTTTGTACTGTATCACATAAATCCCTTTTCTTTAAAACAGTGGGAAAAACTACTAACAATTCTAACAAAAACAACAAAATATCTAGAAACTGATTTTTAAAAGCACATTAAAATTACTATCTGGAACATAAAAGACGAAGAAGCAGGCTACTAGTCCATACTGTGGATAAGAACTTTCAAAGAGAAACTATGTTCGTGTTTCTATAATCACTTGGAAATTGATAAAAGTAAGGAGAAAGGTTCTGAGAAAGACTAAGGAGTACAAAGATCAACTCTGCCAAGTATTAAGTTCAAGCAATGTAATAAAAACAGTATTGTCTGGTGGGTGAAAAGATAAATCAACAGTGCAAAAACAGACATTACGTGTCTAACTGATGCATATGCTTACCTGGTTAGTGTGCATAGACAATTGGAAAACATTTCAAATCATTGGAACATAATTAAAATTACATTAGTTAATATGTGCTCTTTCAACAACTGTAAGCCACACTGAAAAGCAAATTTATCACTTCATATATTTTAAAGAAGATTTTATTTTTATCTGCTACTAAGTAAGACACACCAGTCTCTTTCTGCATGGGGGCCTTGCATGCAATGGGTGTGAGCTGCAGCCTATTTGGAAGTGCATTCAACCTGTTGCCTACAGGAGTTGCCCTACAGGACCTTGGAGACAGTTTTCTGGTGGATAGTCATGTCTCTGATCTGAATGTTGTCCCTAATCTAGCCACTAGACAGGAAGTTATGTCTGTTGCCTTTAGGAAGCCCCAGGGCAGTGGCCAGGATTCACACTGGCCACTAGATCATCCTGTGCACTATAAGGACTGTGACTTATGTTCCTTGGCTGCCAGAAGATACACATCTCAAAGAACTGGGACGTCACCAAGCCTAATGCAGATGAATCTGAAGACCTGGTACTTGAGTGCATCCTTGATGGCTGTGGGGTCAAATACATCCCTGGTGTGGTCCCCTGGACAAATGGCAGGCCCCGCATTCCGGAGGGCTTCCACTGTGCTAGGTCACATCCTACCAAATCATGTTCAGTAAATCTCAGATCTAGTCAAAAAATTCATTTTTATTTATTTATATGTGTGTGTGTATGCACACATGTGTGTGCGCACACATATACCTATGTAAGTATATGCCACTTGTGGGTGAGTACCAGTGGAGCCTAGAAGAGATTATCAGACCCCATAGAACTGGAGTTAGACACAGCTGCGAGACACCTAGTACGGCTGCTGGGAAGCAAACCAAAGGACGTCTGAAAGTGCATCAAGGCCATTTAACTTCTCTTAGCATTTCTCCAATTCCCCATTATTTCATATATTACAAACTAACAAGCAAACAGACAGACAAACAACTCCACATGATCTAACATTTAAAAAATCATTAATATGCTGAAAGAAATAGACCAGCCAAAAGGATATTCTTGGAATTGATAAGGCATTTCTGAGTATAAAATGACCCAGAAGCTATAACAAAGCTCAAAGCCTGAACCTTCATTAGGTTACAGTATCTTTGTGTATCCACAATAAAGACAAAAATTAAAGAGGTAATTTCTTATTAAAAGAATCTATAAATCAACAAATCATATTCTGGCAAATTATTAAAGAAATATAAAAATACAACCAGATATTCAGAGACAAAATATAGTTTTAGAATTTGTGAAATGGTATTCCATTTTAGATTAAGTCAGAATAACATGAATAAAAAGCACAGCTAAAAAGAAAAGTGACATCTTTTTAAAAAGGAAAATTTAATTAAAAACTGTATTAATAAAAATATGATGTTTTCCTGTATAGTTCTATGTTACCATATAAAAAGAAATAATTTCATATACATTAAAATGACAAGATCTGAAAACATATTAAGTCAAATAGTTACAGAATATGTTTGTTATCCCTTGTGAGTGGGAAGCATACAGAACTAGGTACTTTCTGTTTTTTGCTTACGTGTGAGTGTGTGTGTGTGTGTGTGTGTGTGTGTGTGTATTGGAAACTTAAGGTTTCTTTGGAAAGTCAGATGTGTTGGATGTTTTGTTGGGGCAGACATATGAAGGAGTGTTTCACTGAAGCAGACACAGGTGAAAAGATGTTTTGCTAAAGCAAAGACATGAAAGGACACATGATGTTAAGAAGGACCCAACAGATGGTGGATGATGCTGGAAGGTATTGGTATGTCTTGCCATTCCTTAATGGTCATTTGCTGCTTCTGAAGACTTGGGCTGATTGGCAGAGTGATGCCAGCTGAGGCAAGACCCATGGCAGGACACACGATGTTTGGAGGGGGTATAAATAGGACCCAATGGACAGTGACATGGCTTGCATAGCTTGCTTCACAACGCTTCTTGGTCTTGGCCCTTTGCTGATCCTCATTTCTTTGAGAGAGGCACGGCAGAGAACTTCTCCTGGTGTCCCTGCTGGTTCTCGTGGCTCCTGCTGACTTGTGCTGATTCAGTGGAGGCCTGGCTGTTTCTGCTGGGTCATGCCACCACTGCTGATTCATGTTTGCTATCCTGACACTGCTGAAGTGGACTGCTGGTATGCATTCTAACAATGCAGACTGGATTGGATTTGCTCCAAAGAAATATTTCTAAACAGGCCCACTTCCCCCCATATCCTAATAATCTTTCTTTTCCACTACCTCTGATGGGTGGTGGGCTAGAAGGGAGGTTAAACCATTTAATAACCCTTACTAAAAGTAGGTTTTGAAAAATCAAAGCCTACATGTGTGTGTGTTATATTGACAAAGCTGTATGTATTAACCATGTACAACATGATCAAGTATGTGTACACAATGGAATGACTAGGTTTAGCTAACTTACAAATGAAATACCTTACATATTTATAATTTTTGTAAAATATTTCCAATCTCCTAGGATTTTACAGGCGTACAACATGTTAATCTGCCACCATGTTATACAATAACTCACTTAAACTTACTCTTCCTGCTTCACTGAGATCTTGTGCCCTTTAGCAGAGCCTCTCCAGCGCTCACTAACCACGTCAGCCCCAGAACAATCTAGTTTACTTTCCATTTCTGTGACCCAAGGTGTTTATGAAAAAAAAATCTTGAAAATGTAGATTCAAATGTGGTGAGGTAACATCTCACGACTGTTAGAACAGCTGTTACAAAAAAAAATGCCATTGAGAGGCTCAGCACTTAAAGGCAAATGCCACCAACACTGATGAGCTGAATTCTGTCCCCGGGACACAAGGTGGAAGGTGGGAACAGATTCCTGAAAGCTGTCCTCTAACCTCTACATTCACACTATGGCACACACATGCCTGCATACACACAGACACGCCACACCACGCCACACCACACCTCACGGCACCACACCGCACCACAGCACCACACTGCACCACAGCACACCACACCACAGCACACGACACCACACGACAGACACTAAGTCTAAGTGAGTATTTGGGAGAAGAGGGAAAGCTTACACACTCTTGATGGGAGTATAAGCTAGTCCACCCATCTAAGAAAGCAATTTATAATTACATGAGTCAGAAATGTGTCTATCTGGTATATAGCCAAAGGAGACAAAAGCAGTGTGTTTAAGAGATACCTAGACTCCCACGTTTATTAAAACACTGGTCACAATAGTCATGAGATTGAATCAATTTTAGTGTCCATCAATAGAGAAGGAGAAAAAATGAATGTGATTAACATGCGTGTTTATGAGTCCAGGGAAATGCTTGTCAGTAATAAAAAGAAGGTAGTCCTGTCATGCGTGGCAACATGAATGAACCTGGAGGTTACTGTGTTATGTGAAAAAGAACAGATGCAGAAAGACAATAATCTCATCTGTCTGTAGGAGCTCAAAGGACCACTCATATTTTAAAGTGCGTTGGCCATTCCTATTAGAATTCTCAGATTATAGAGATCTCAGACTGAAAGTAACTGCTTCTAGACCAGGGTACCTGATTATTAAAGGACAGAGACAGAATGTTGTGTTTTATAAAAAGAGAAAAGGGGTATGTTTGGTGGAGGCATGGTATGGTGTGAGGGAAGGGGGTGCCTCTGCGGCATCCCTTCCCCCTGAGGGACCAGCTACACACGGACAGTATAATATGGAATAGTTTATTTAGGGCATGGGAAGGGGAGTTGAGGGAGTAGAGACAGAGAAAGGCAGAGAGAAGGGGGGAGGGAGAGAAGGGCAGAGGAGGAGGGGGAGGGAGAGAAGGGGGGAAGAGGGAGAAGGAAGGGGAGTAGAGTGGAGGTGTAGAGGCAGGCCATGAGCACATGGAAAGAGAGAGGGAGGGGAAAGGGGAAAGAGGGGGAAGAGGGCAAGAAGAGGGGAAAGTAGCCTCTTTTATACTGAGTCAGGCACACCTGGCTGTTGCCAGGTAACTGTGGGGCGGAGCCTAGACGAAGTGCCAACACAAAGAATGTAAACACTTTTCACTGTACCCCTCCCACCTCGCCCCGTGTACCTTTTAATTCTTGAGCGTGTGTGTGAATTTTTTTTCAAATAAATAAAAATCAGTTTAAAATTTATCCAATTAAAATGTATCCAACCAACAGACAGCACTGATTTTTCGGCCTACAAATAAGATACCTGTACTGGGAAAAATTAGACCTGGGGAACCGAGCCCAAAGAAAAGGATGTCAGTTTTTGGCACTGCTTTATCTGGGAAAAGGAAGTCTGCAGCAGTTGCCTTTGATTACATGAAGAGCATTGCAGCAGAAAATACAGATGGCCAGCTGTGGTTTGTCTCTGCTGAGTCTGCAGTAAGAAGTAATTAGGGCAGAAGGGACTGGCCGTAAGAAAAATATCTCTAGTAAAGTGTTCCACTGTCAGTCTTGGTCAGTGCTTGAATACTAGGTCACTGGACCATGTTTATCGGGGTGTTGCTTCATGTCCTCTTCCTTATCTAATCTCTGTGTTATCCAAACACACAGTGAGCCTCTGAGGTTACTTCAGGTCACTACGGAGCCACAGGGATGGACTGGCCTGCTTTCATATCTAGAGGGGCCTGGGCACCATGAAGCCAGCAGGGACAGCTTTCAGAGAAGCTGAACATGAAAGTCACCGCAAAGTTTAGCCCAGGGAAGACTTTCTAGGTGCATTTAGAATGGACTTCTAGAATCTTCTCCAGAAACGTCTAGAGGCAAATCTTAAGCCACACTGGATGACAGGGAGAGGCTGCTGGATTATTTTTGAAAAGAGGAAAAGAAGGGGAGGTAAAGTGGACAGACTTCTTGGTGTTTTCCCTGTCAAAATACTGACGAGGCAAACATCTCAATTTACCATTAATTTTCTCAAGGGATTGTAGCCTATTTCCCTGTCCCTCTGCTTGATTCTTTTTCTCTGAGTCTCCTAGTGCCAAGACCACCTCCACATTCTATCCTTCCTTCAGAGCACCAGAAAAGATTTCCCAGCTATGGATGTGGGTTAGACTTCTGCAGCCTCTTAGGACTGTTGAGGACATGACGGACCTCCTCCCTTCTGCCAGCAGCTCAGGCTAGGATACAGGGTAGGATACATGGTAGGATACAGGGTAGAATACAGGGTTTGGTTTCGGAGGTAAAAGTGCCTTGGGGAAAATGTACACTTTCAGTCGCTGTGTAACTTGTTATTTCTCAAGTGAACAAATTACTCTATGCCTAGAAACAAAGAAGTTTTGAGGTACTTAAAATTAAATTGTTTTCTCTCTCCCCCCCCCACTT